ATTTAGTGGTAGCTTATCAGTGGTGACTGTCAGTTAATGTACATATGGCAGAAATGTACGGAAAAATCAATTAAAGACGTAATCAAACAGACGATGAACACTATTAACAGCAATTGTTATATGATGCAATCAAACTTATAGCAAATGTGGTAGTTCTGTATGTTGTTTCAGGGTTGGCATCATCTGAGGGGCATCATCTCTTCTCAGGTGTTCTGGATCCAGACTGAAGCTTGTGTAAATCCTAGTTACCAGAGAAACAAATAGAGACATAATTAGCGTAGCTGCTGTTCCAACCAAGCAAAACTGATTTGTTTAACCCAAGCTAAAGAATAATAATGTGCATTTGATCAGATATAACGTTGGCCACAATTATTGGCCCCCTTTTATTCAATACTTTTTGCAATCTCCATTTGCCAAGGTTACAGCTCTGAGTCTTCACCTATAATGCCTGATGAGTTTGGAGAACAGCTGACAAGAGATCAGAGACCATTCCTTTAGTTCACCCCACTCATTTTCTATAGGGTTCAGGTAAGGGGACAGAAACTTCGTTTTGTGCTCAGTGACCCATTTTTGTGTTGATTTTTATTTTTATTTTGGATCATTGTCCTGAATGAAGATCCAACCACGGGCCATTGTACGATTTCTAACAGAGGCAGTCAGGTTTTGATTTTTTTATCTGTTGATATTTGATAGAATCCATGATGCCATGTGTCTAAACGAGATTTCCAGGACCTCCGGCAGAAAATAGGCCCGCAACATTAAAGATCCAGCAGTATATTTAACTGTTGGCAATGGGTACTTTTATCTCTGTGTATCTCTTTAAACCCATCTTGTTTTTCCCCAAATCATTTTTGGTTTTTCTCATTGTGATGGATGATTAGGGGAATTTGGACTTCGTATTACTTGATATTTATACTCATGTGAAACAGGAAGTCGACTGGACAATTTCATGCTGGTGTTCTAAAAATGGGAATATAAATGGGAATATACTTAAGAAATATTTTACTCATAAGAATTTCTAGGAGTAATAATAATTGTGGCCAACGTGTATTGGAGAAAAATGTTTATTTCATAATGTGATCCCCCACTTTCAATTGTTTTACTTAAATAGATTTTTGTGAATTTTTTGACCTTTCAAAAGGTCAAGCAATGCAGATTTATTTTCACAGCCTTCTTTCAGTCTTCTTTGCTAATCATTCTGACCACAACTATATATAAATATCATAATATATAGGTTTTTCTTCATATATAT